GTCTTGAGATGGGTTAAACCACTATTTGAATATATATTATTTATTTTTTATATAATGTGAGCATAATTAGTTTATTTCTCGTGTTCTAAATTCAGACTACAATTGCTTCGTATCTTGCCAATTTAAATTTTGTTTCAGTCCTCAATGGAACAAATTTTAAGGACTGGAAAGAGAACATTGATATTGTTCTTGGTTGCATGGATATGGATCTTGCGTTAAGGATCTGAGCAACCCCTTACTCCTACGGATTCAAGTACCTCCGAACAGAAAAGAAATTATGAGAAGTGGGATCGCTCAAATCGCATGAGTCTAATGATCATTAAGCGTGACATCCGTGAGGTGTTTAGGGGCACTTATTTCCGAAAACATCACAAGTGCCAAATAATTCCTTGCTGAAATTGAGGCGCTTTGCAAAAAGCGATAAGGCGGAGGCAATCACTCTTCTTCAGAACTTGATCTCCATGAAATATCAAGGCAAAGAAAATATCAGGGAGTACATTATGAGCATGTCTAATATTGTTTTTAAAATCAAGGCACTAAAGCTTGAACTCTCGGAAGACTTGCTCATTCATTTGGTGTTGATTTCTCTTCCTGTAACGTTTAATCAATTTAAGGTATCTTACAAATGTCAGAAGGATAAATGGTCTCTTAATGAGCTCATTTCACATTGCGTACAAAAAGAGGAAAGACTAAAGCAAGACAAGATAGAAAGTGTTCATTTTGCAAGCACCTCCAAGGCTAAGGGCAAAAGAAAGAGATCAGAGGATCTCGAGAAAGAAGGCTGCTAAGGGTTCGAGAACAAAAGAAACAAACTCAAGAAAACAAATGTTTCTTTTGCAATAAGATTGGACACATAAAGAAGAAATGTGATAAATATCATGTTTTGCGTGAAAAGAAAGGTTGCCTAAACTACGGAAGCCAATTGATTCTGAAAGATGGATTTATGTTGGAGATGGTAAATCGGTAGAGGTGGAAGCTATAGGACATTTTAAATTGTTATTGAGTACTGATTTTTTATTTGGATTTGAAAGACACTTTTGTTGTGCCGTCATTTAGACCGAATTTGGTTTCAGTTTCTTATTTGGACAAATTATGTTATTTGTGTTCATTTGGAAACAATAAGTTCAGTTTGTCTTTTAATTCAAATATTGTTGGAACTGGTTCACTTTTGATTTATGATAATCAGTATTTACTTGATATTGTGGTCACCTATAATGAAACCCTTAATACAAAATCACGTGGTATTAAACGTAAAATTGAAAATATTCATTCAGGTGTATTATGGCACAAGTGCTCAGTGTCAAATCAAATCGTGACGTTTGAGCTTGTGTTACACTCTTAAAGATATGGTAAAGAGTATGATTTGTCATTCCACCTTACTGGAATCACTTTGGGGAGAGACACTAAATACGACGGACTTATATTCTAAACAGAGTACAAACTAAAGCAGACTACCAAAACACCTTATGAGCTTTGGATTGGGCGACAACTTAGTCTAAAACATTTCCATGTGTGGGATTGTCCAGTCTGAGGCAAGACCTTATAAGTCAAATGAAAAGAAATTGGACTCCTGAACAGGTAAGTGGTTATATTATTGGTTATGCTAAAAGATCCAGGGGATATAAATTTTATGATCCCACATTAAAGACAATTTTTTAGACGGGAACTGCTACGTTCTTTGAGGATATTGAGTTTGGGGGAAGAATAAGATTAAGAACTTTATCTTGGAGGAAGAATCGGTAGTAATTTCGAATCAGATTCAAATAGTTACTTTTGATAAAGTAAGTTCAGAACCTCCACAAGGCATTATTGATGAACCCCTTACTCAAGATGATTTGGTTGTTCATGAAGAACAAACTCAAGATCCTCAAAGAACTCGTGCATCATGAGCTAATAACTTTGCGAGAGATCCTCTAGAGAAAGAAGAAGTGCTATTTCGGATGATTACATGGTATTTCTTCGAGGAACATGAGAAAATAATGATATAATGGAAGATGATCCAGTTAACTTAGTCAAGCTATACAAGGTTCTAACTCTCAAAAGTGGATTGAAACAATAGGATAAGTATAAGTCCATGCAAGACAATAAGGTTATTGGGAACTTGTCCCATTACCAGGAAGGTATGAAACTCATTTGGCTTCAAGATGAATATTGTTGATGATTGTATGTATCACAAGTTTAAAGGGAGACAAGTTTAGTCTCAATCAGTGCCCAAAGGGAATTTGGAAATTGAGGAAATGCAAAAGATTCCCTATGCATCGGTTGTAGGGAGTTTGATCTATGCCCAAGTATGTACGCATCCGGACATAGCATATATAGTTGGGGTTCTAGGTAGATATTTAAGCAATCCAGGAATAGACCATTGAAAAGCGGCAAAAAGGGTCATAAGATATTTAAAGAGAACAAAAGATTATATGCTTACATATAGGAGGTCGGACCAGTTGGAGATCGTTGGGTTTTCGACTCGGATTTTGTAGGATGTCGAAGAATTGAGTTACGGGTACGCAAATTGTGAAAGGCATTGAAAGACCACTTAAGTTATATTGTGACAATAAATCAGTCTGTATTGTTAAGGAAAGAGTACAAAGTGGACTGATTTTCATAGAACACTTAAGGACAAACTTCATGATACCGAGATCTTCGACTAAAGGACTTCCGCTCAAGGTCTTTCATGAGCATTTTGCTCACATGGGTGTTTTACGGTTTGAGGTTTAGTGGGAGTTAGTCACTTTCATATATTTTATGTTCTATGTTTAATTTCATATATGTATACATTGTTTTTTGGACATATTTGGTTATCTATAGATATGCGGTTTTTTCGTTCATTCATTACACTTTGTACATTAAGGATATTATATCGATCTCGATAAGTTAAAGTTTGGAACAGGTTGAAAATAGATGTGTACAGTTCACTTTCACGTAATTTTTCATGTTACACATTTCATGATGAATTCATGTCATTTGGTTATGTTAGGATGAGTAATCATTGTTGGTTTTAGTTGCAATGATGCGATGAAAAGTTGGTTTGGTTCATATCCTGGTATAATTAATGGATAGGACTTTTGGAGTATGCTAAAGTAATATAATGACAATTTTGAGCTTCATAAAGTATAACACATTTGTAAGGTTGTAAGGACATATATATTTGTGACCGTGGGAGATTGTTGGCAAAATTTGGGTCATGTATATATATGATACATAATTAAAATGTGTTAAGGTCATTATTTATTAAGCTAAATAATAAAGTGATCTGATCTAAATTAAAGTTTTGGTTAAAAGCATATGTCGTGAAAATAAAATTGTGTAGAGACCATTGAACAATTTCTAATTTGATGAGGGGTCAAATTAGAAATACTAAAACTTAAGTAATTAACCTAATTTCGATTATCTAAAGGGTCATGGTCACCACTTTTGGGAAGCACATGAAGCGTAAGTTAGCATTCGCATTCGCTTTCTTCTATCATCACGTCAAGAGAGTAAAATCAAGAGGGAAATATAGGTGCTTCTGGAAGACCATAAGATCAATGCAGATGCTTTACAAAAACATCATCATTATGTGTAATTCGGATACGTTTCGCATTAAATTTACAACATGTTTATTGGAATTATGTGTGTACGTGTGATAGTTAGAATCAAAATTATTATTATTATTATTATTATTATTATTATTATTATTATTATTATTATTATTAATTTTCAACATTTTCAGCAACGAATACAGTAACACAACAATATTAAATTAAACAAGAAACTTAAATTAAGTCAAACGATGGTGGTGGCTTACTTGAGAGCGGCGTGTGAATCCGTGCGATGGTAGATGAAAACGATGCATAGGCGCGACGGTGAGCAATCGGTGGTGACATTCGAACAGCATTGGAGAGAAGAGGGAGACAAAGGCAGTGAGGGAGAGAGAAACGGCGACGAGCAGTTGCGGTGACGAGTGCAATCTCAACCAGTCGGCGATGACGAGAGTGTCTAGAAAACCTCGACTGGTTTACATAGATTTTTTTTTTCACTTATCATTCCTTTTTTTTTTTAAATCTACTTATTCAAACGATTAATATATGAAAGTCTTCTCAATATTTTAAAACAATAATATAACATTCATAATTAATTAATAAAAAAAACTGAAATTTGACATTAAATTCATTTATTAACATCCAAGAGTAATGAAAAAGTCAAACTTTAAATTGAATAAATTTCTCTTAACTTCAGCTTCCACGACTAGTTTGATTTAAATTTTAAAGAAAATATGTACAAAATTAAATTTAATAAATTATTTTATAATCACTTAATTTGAAAAAGAAAAAGGTTAGTTGAATTTGAGTGATTAATTTGAAAAGTAGAAAATAATTAATATAATTTGAGTTATCAATCTGAAAAATGAAAATGTCATTTTGAAAATTCCGTAATTAACATTTATAAATTATTTTCAACCAATAAGAACAAAAAAAAATATATTGATTTTCTTTCCAAAAACATTAGAATAGTAAATTGACGTTTATTTCTTTTTTCTATTCTTATAAATGAAGATTGGAAAATAATTCATAATGATTTCTAACATAAGTGAAAAGTTAGTAATGAAACATTGAAATTATAAACTAAACAATTTTCTTATAAATTGTTAATATTAATATCTGTTATTTTGTATCGTTTCACACTCTCTTTTTTTCTTTTTACTTTGTTTGTTTCAACACAAAGATTAAATATGAGAATCTTAAATGATAACCAGTAATGGACACACAAATAATAATAATAATTTTATGTATTGCCCTAAGAAGGTGGCTGCATAGGCTAACCAATAATGACTGAAATATTGTCTTTTGCTTCTTTCTCATTTTGTGACTTTGACATCAATTTAATTCTTAGTTAATCTTGAACTATATATAGAATTTGAGAATGTTTTTTTGTGTTATATATTAGTGTGATGAGTTGAACATAATATTCTGTATATATGTGGAACTATGAGAAAAATATATATTAAATTATGAACCAAAAACCTAAGTTATATGCTCTTCCTTCAATCTTAGATTTTCCACAGGTCGCTGTTCATAACCCCCAACACCCCTGCTGCTGAAACGATGCGTCTCATTGGGTGTGGCATTTTGTTCTTTCAGCTGTGATGCATTATTGTTGGCAAGTGTGTGGCTATTAGTTCTAGCTGCTGGCACATCATGATTATGTTTTCCTTCATACGTTGTTATGACAGCTTTAGGATCAGTTGAAGCCCTCTCAACATGCTTTCGAACATTGCAACCTGGGGTTGTGCACTTGTAATAGCTCCTACACACCGTAAAACCATGCATCTCGCACTCTTTTCCAAGTTAAATATAAGCAAATAAAGTGTTTAGGAAAACCAATATCACCTTGGGTATGGGTTGCCTTTGACAACTTTTTGTCCATATTTACGCCATCTATATCCATCATCCAAGAGATCCACTTCACTTGTTGTCTGCACAACGATTCTAGGTTCTGCCACAGTTCTATGCAAAGAGTCTGGATCCTGGTGTCTGGCTTCTGTGTTTCTGCAGAATCATTAAACTTTCCAACATTACACAAGGCCAAATAATATCACCCCACCATGAACATGTTTATATGAGCTAAACCCTCACCTCCTCTTGCGATCAGGTTCATCATTTTTCTCATCCACTTCAGTCTCATGATCACTATCACTTGTCCCCGACCCATGTTCAGCTGTTGCCTGACTAGATTCTAGATCCATCTGAGAACTCATCTCTTCTTTCGACTTATCTGAATTTTCAGTTGAAGTTAGGGTACCTCTTGTGGTCTTACTGGGATGAGGACGTGGATGGTTGTGCTCTCCTTTATAAATAATTGCAGTTACATGACCCCCAAGAGATCGTTCAAGCTTTTTCTTGACAGGACAATTTGGATGTGTGCATTTGTAATAACTTCGAGAAAAGTCACTACCCTTGACATGTTTCTGCCCATACTTCCTCCAGTTATATCCATCTTCATTAGGCTTATCAGCATTGACAGATGGAGAGTGAAACTTTTTTCAGATTGAGGAAAACCAATGGATTCTGTCACCCCAGAAGCTGGCATTGAGGTTGGCTGTGGTATCAGTTGTTGTGCAGTGGTGGAAATAGTTGTACGAACCTGTGTCAATGTGGTAGCAGGCACTGCTGTGGAGAATGGATGTTCAGCTTGGATTTGCACATTGGAGTGTGTGACCTGTGCTAGCATTTGCTGGTCTGTCATTCCAAAGTGTCCCTATATAAGGAAAGCAAACATTTAAAGTAAGGTATTGAGAAATGAATATTAGGGAATTAAAGAGAACACTTCAATAAAAATTGTACTAGAGTACATTAAAAATCTCAAGAGACAATGTTACATTCAATAAATAATGCTACGTTGACAGAAAACCTTGGCTGTACTTTTGCTGCATCACTTTCTTTCATATAATGTTCACGTACATTTACCATCTTATTTATGATCTTATCCTTTCGTATGTTAGACCATTCTACAGCCTAAAGATTAGGTAGGAGAAAGTAATAAGTAAATTATGCTCTTAGTAAGTAATAATAGGTAATCAAAACTTATAAAAAAATTGGTAAATTAGAAAACCTGTTGTGACTTGAAAATGACCAAGGTCATTATTAAGTGATCTAAAATTATCAGGATTTCTGTTAATTTTCTAATAACATATAATCAATAATTATTAACTTTTATAAATTATAAAATTTGAATATGTTATACAAAATATATTTATATTCAAGTAATTTCACCTGTTATATATTTTTATTCCAATAAGAGGAATATCCACCTTCATAAAGATTTTCTTAAAAGAAGCTCATGTCCCCTGATAAATGAACTTTAAAGACAAAACTTTCATGAAGTCATACTCGTCAAAACCTATCCTCTAACTAAAATTCAAGGCTAAATGTTCATTACGTAACATTATTCTAACGTAAAATGTATCTTGAGATGTGTGGTTGGAAAAATTATAACAAATGAGATGTGTTACCTGAGAAGGTGAATCAAGAAAGAACTGGGGTGGGGTGGGGTCCACTATGGCGCCGGCGAGGAGCTCCGAGAACGACTTACACTCATCGCCATCGCCGAATAAGTTGGAAAGTAGAGTCATGGGACCAGGGCTATACCCCACGGTGGCCCCGCCGTTGAAAACTCCCTCCGTGGAAGCGTGTGATCGGATATTATTCCTGGGACGCGCCGCCGTCGAGGGTGGTGCTCCTCTCCCTTTCCTCTCCATTTCCACCGCCAACCATTCACCTTGAATGAACCAAGACTTTAAAAATCTTTTTTGTTCCTCTCCTCTTTCTCCTGTCTTTCTTTTGTGGAAAAAGAAAAAAAAAAAAAAACTCTAATCAAAATCAAAAGTATGCAACCTTTTTGCTCTGTGTCTGTTATACGATGATTCTGGTGTTCTTTTTGGATGGTTTGATTTTGGGGTTTTCGTGGATCCCAAACTCAATTTTCAATTTCAGCAAAAAGTCCACGCCACTCATACCCCAGAGCAAAAAAAAAACATTTTCTCTTCTCCCTCACGTATCAACAAAATAATATATATATTTGATTTTTTAATTGCACAATGTTATCATCATCTTCTTTCTTAATAACTTAACCAGAGGAACCGTAATTTGTTTTTCATGTTAGCTTGCCCACAGATAAAACACATCACTGTTATTTAAGTTAAATATTTATATGTCTTATTTCATGTTTAAAATGATTATATTGATTATTGACTTTGAATTAAATAATTTTAAAATACTTGTAGTAAAGTTGAATATTAGCTCAACATAAACAGCATCACTTTAATGCTAATATTAAACAAAATAAGTTTTGTAACATTGAGGGAAAGTATTGTATGGAAGGTTCCTTTTGTAGGTTATTTTAAATGTTAAAAAAAAATTGAAGTTAAATGTTTGGGCGTACAGGTGGGGGAATTTGTTGAATAGTCGATATTACCCTCAAAAGGTTTTAGAATTACATGAGTTTGGAGGAGGTGGACGAATGGTGTGAGGTGGCGTGAGGGGCAATGGCGAGAAGAGAGTGGCGCAGTAGCAGTCACGTTGTTGCGTTGCGTTTGTCTTTGTGAAGATAAAATAAGGAGGAGACTGAGTCAAGTCACAAAAACTGACAACAACCTTTTCCACTATAATAATACTCTCGGACATGTTTTGCCTTTTATTATTATAAATAAGTTCCTTTGTTTTTATTTTAGTTCAAAAATTACGTAAGAAAATGTACAAACAATAAGATTCTGGTTTATCTTAATTGTTTGTCTGAACTTCTTTAAAAAAATACCTAAACCGGTGGGCATAAGGATTTTAAATTATGAATAAAAATCATGAAAATATATATAGAGGTGCGTATGAGATTTGAGTTGGGTGAACCAAGTCATTACACAGTCTATTAAAAAAAATTGGTTGGATTACACTTAATCGATTTTTTTTTTATTATTTAATCTAATTATTAATTGGGTTGTAAATTTCTGGAAAAAAATAATTTTTAATTATAAAACGTATTTTTTAAAATAATTTTAAAAAAACTATATCATTTATTAGATTAGATTGGATTTGATCCAATAAAAAAAATCAATACTTAAATGTCCTCTTTAATGATTTTTTTTTTTAGATTTTGCTTAAAAAGGAAAATAATGCATAACTCAAAGAGGCCACACTTCTTAGAATAATTTATTTTTTTAATTATCTTTTGGATTAAATATGGTTTTAATAGTTTTAAATTTAGTAACTTATGTTTATTATTATAAGGTTAAAATTGATGTTTTTAATTTTTGTAGTTATAAGAAATTTTGTTAGTATTATTTTCTTTACGTGTCATTAAAGATTATCTATTATGAATTCTTTATATCATAAATTTTTACCAATTTTTTTTCTTTCCAAAATACTCATTGATGATTAGGTAAGAAAATTACAAAGAAGGATTTAATTGTAGATAAATCTAGAAAAAGGAAAAAAAATGGGTTGTAAAAGTATGTCTAAATATTCAACTTTAAGCAGTTTACATGTAAATGGATCTGTGGCGCAATGGTAGCGCGTCTGACTCCAGATCAGAAGGTTGCGTGTTCGATTCACGTCAGGTTCACTCTTTTTTTACTGTATTTAGTTATGAGGTAAAAATAAATAAATTACACTTTTTATATCTTCAAAAGATGTCAATATAAAAAAATTTATATTTTCTACGTAAGTAAAATTTTAAAAATCGTGAGAAATATTTTTATGATAAAAAATTTGTTAGTAAAATATTCATAAAAAATTACATTCTCATATGATATCTTTTTTATATAAATATGTATTAAAAATTTTCTAGACTTATTTATGACAAAATTCTCACATACTTATTTATCGGAAAATTCTCACACGCTTATGCATTAGAAATTTTTTACAACCTAATTAATGAAAAAAAAATTCACAAATTACTCCGTGCAAAATAAAAAAAAATTATCATTTTTTTTATCTAATAATTCTTTGAAAAAAATTTCAAAAATATTTTCCATAAATTTTTTTTAAGAAATGACTATTTTTATTTTTATTATTATTTTGTTGTAATTCAAAATTATTTTATATTTTTTATTGAATTTTCATAATTTAAATAATGAAACTTTTTAAACATAAAAAAAAAAAAAAATAGAGATAGAACATCATTGATCAACAAAGGTCCAACCCAATTTAGGTGCACTCAAAACTTTGAAGTTAATTGTTACATTATATTTGTTGTAACCAAGATAAAAATGTACAATGAGCAAATTGCACTCCATGTTATTGAAGAATAAGTTTCGCTATTTTATGGCCTTACATCAGATGAATAAAAAATTATTAAATAAACCACTTATGTACATAAGACGTACTACTTCCTAAAATTAAGGTGAACTTACTCAAAACTAATGTAATTGAATTTAGAAACACTAACAAATCCTCCCTTAAACTAAATGGTAGCAATAAGTTTATATCATATTTATATATTCCTAGTGACCTTCGTAGTATTAAAAAGTATCTAGTTTGAGATTGTTCTTGTGTTCCACAATGTATCATATTGATAGTTCCAATCTTTATAAGGTTTCGAAGGAAATGAAATCGGACATCAATATGTTTACAATGACCATGCATTATTAGATTCTTTGGTAACTTAATAACATAGCTACTATCACAATGAATTATAGTGGTTTGGCTTTGCATTACATAATTTTCTCAACACCCTTTTCAACCAAACGACTTGACACGTGCATGATGTTGCACCTATAAATTATGCCTCAGTAGTTGATAGATTCACAATTGGTTGTTTCTTTGATGACCAAGAAATAACAACTAAACATAATAGGAACACATAACTTGAAGTGTTTCTCCTATCATCCAAATCTCCCTGCATAATCACTGTTAATATAAGCAAGAAGTTCATTGTTTCCTCCTTTTTGTAGAAAATGTCAATTGTTCCTTTTAAATATCTCAACACTCTTTTAGCTTCCAATAAATGTAGCTCAATAGGATTCTCCATGTACCTGCTTAATTAAGCTTATCACAAACATCATATCAGGTCGAGTGGAGGTTAGATACATAAGACTTCCCATAATTTGTTTGTAGTAAGTCTTATTCACCTTAACACCAGTGTCCTTTAAGAGTTTAGCACCAGGAACAATTGGGTTTGAACTCGGATTGCATTTATCCATTCCAAATCATTGTAGTATTGTTAATGCATATTTATTTTGACATAAGAAAATGACATTTGTTTGTTGCATAACTTCAAGACCCAAAAAATTGTTAAGAATTCAAGTGTGAGTTTGAAGTCTCACATTGGGTAGAAATGAGAAATTTGAGTAACTTATAAGTGAGAAAAACCCATGACCTAATGTCTTAAGGTTTTGGATTGAGAGTGGTGTCATATTCTCTTATATGGTTTGACTCGGGTTCCATTTGTGAGAATCTCTCTATTGTTAGCCCCCTCGGAAAGATCCAACAGTGGTATCAAAGTTAATGTATACCAATGTGAAAGAGAATCACACTTGAGGGAGAGATGTTGAAAATTCAAGTGTAAGTTTGAAGTCCCACATTGGGTAGAAATGGAAAAGTTGAGTAACTTATGTTAGAATCGTGCAGCGGAATGTTTGCGTTTCCGAACAAAAACCAAAAGGGGGGGTGAATTGGTTTCTTAACAAAAATTAGGATTTTAAAAATTTTCCCAAATTTCACCGATTAAATTGTTGTGTAAAGTAAATAAAGCAAGGATAGAGTCTTATACAAATGATTTATACTGATTCGGATCAAAAGACCCTACGTCCAGTTGCTAATCACTCAAACAGAGGATTAACGTTGTCACTATAATCACGATTATACAATCAGATTACAAATAAGAAGATAAGGTAAAGAAAACATGATATGAATCACAAGGGGTAATTTAGGATCTTTAGGGTTAGAACCTTTTAGGAAATTTAGTAATTTAGTAATAAGGTGGAAGGAAAGAATCACTCTTTCCAAGGAAAGCAACACACAAAGGATGTGAAAGTCCTTTGATACGACCAAATATTCTTGAATCACTCAAGAACTTAGGAGAATCACTCTCACTAAGATAAAAGAGATAAACTCTAATATTTCTGAATAAAATTTCACTTGTTATTTCTTGATAAGAATGGTTCGAGCCTAATATAGAAGCGTTGCCATCGAATTACAAAAGACTCAATAAAAGAAAATAAATACTAATAATAACCCATTAATCTAGGAATTGAAAACTATTTAATGGAAACAAATAAAGGCTAATAATGATCCATTAACCTAGGAATTGAAACTACTTAATGACTGATTGTATTTGAAACCGTGGCAACCAAAAGTCAATCAGCCTATGCACCCTTTGGTCTCCCAAAGGCTAATGACTAAATTTTCAATTGGGCCCTTATTACAACTTAAAACAAAATCAAACTAAAGCCCATTAATTGATCAAAACACAATTTGGTCAACCAACAATACTTGTTGAAGAGCTTCTTTTGTTTCCCTTGCTCTAGCCCTTATCATAGGTCATGTTCACATCAAAACACCTCTCTTAAGTCACACAAGAGATGAACACCTCCTTTGAATCCGACAAAGGATGAATAACAGCTTTTCCCTAGAGACGACACAACACACAATCCACCAAGAAAACCCACTTAGTGATTCTTATCGCTTCTAGCCCACACTAGGTTTCAAAAGCCCCTTTTTCCTCCAACAAACAGATTGTCCGGCAGTCACAACTCTCAACTTTTGTTTTGAAAAAGGTTGTTCACTTTGTGGAGAGCCTTAGAGAACCTTAAGCAGACGGATTAGGGTTTGGGAATTGGGGATTTTCGAAACCTGGTGAAGTGGGACTAGGGTTTTTGAAACTTGGTCCAATTTTGAAATTCAAAACACATATTCTGACGAAATAATCGATTATCTTGAGTGTTAATCGATTATTACATAGCCAAATTCACCTGGAACCCAAAAC